GTTCCATGTTCCCTTTTTTCAACTATACTTGTTTGAACCCATTCAAAATCAGCTGAAAAGGATCCCTTTTTCACAACGGACATCTGGGGAGCGAAGGCTACAGCCAAGACTGGCAAGGTAAACACTGCGTGTGGGGTCCTAGTATGCCTTGGTTGCCACTGTCTGTCTTGGATGCCAAGCGAATCCCTGAAAAGTGAAATTCGAAGTACTGGTGCAAGGATAGCATTTGCCTCAGGCGCGCTTTGCCAGTCTAAACACTTGGATTGCCCGCAGTTGTGTGTTTCCTTTACTTGGCAGAGGCTGAAAACTTCATTTGACCTCTTGGTTGGCAACCATGTTGCTTCCCTGAGTTTTGCGCTTTAAACTTTTTGGGAAGGCCATTTTAGGCGAAGACCATTTTTGTGTGGAAAAAACAAAAAACAAGTAGGGACTTGTGCGGGTCAATCTACTCAGGAAGTGAGGAAGGTTGGGAACCATGTTTTGTCCATGCAACACTTTGGTGCATTTTGCTTGGATGTTAGGACTTTAACTTTTTGCCAACTAATGGGTTTTCCATTAAACCACTAAAAGTTAAACTTTTAGCAGGGGAGCAGAAAGCAACCGAGAAAAGCTTCAGCTTTTGAGGTGTTCAAGTCCATTGGTTGCTGTCAGGTGCAATTTGGATTTGAAGCAAAGAGCTGGCTCACCTCCAAGCTGACTCGGATGTGAGTCTAGGGATGCATATGCATATGCATATGCATATGCATACAATATGTTTTCTATTCTACGTGTATACATGTATACATGCATTTTCGCACAGAGTTTTCAAAGGCGACCCTAAACGTTCAATCTACAGTTCCTCTTTCCCTGTAAGACGATAATGGAATTGGGGACGTCTTCCTCCCGAAGGAGGGTGATGGAGCCTGTTTTGTCGAAATGGCGCACCCCTATATTCCCTTTTGCCGCAACTGGGTATGTGCGAAGACAGGGAGAACCCCAACAAAGGGACCCTCACAAGACACAGCCAGACACATATTGTTGCGCGTGTATTAATATATAAATGTATATTATATGTATGTATTATATGTATATATTATCTGTATATATGTATATATCTTCGAGTGCCTTGGCCTGTGCAGGTTCAAACGAAGTATAATATGGTGAATAAGAAGGGTGGATGGCTCCAAGTGCGATCCATTCTTTGCAGTCCGGGCAAGGACTCGGTTGCCAGGCTGGGAGCCTGAGAAGGGGCTAACCTCAAGACTCGTTGCTTGCGTTTTCCCCAGAGAACCACACGCCTGTAATTTCTAATTTCTCAACACGACCTTGAGCCGGAAGGTCCTGTATCTTCCAGCTCCCCCTGGCATTGAGAATTGCTGGTGTAAGATGTGTGTGTGTGTGTGTGCGCGCGTGGTTGCGCCTCTTTTCTGCTGGTTGCATGCTGTTATGCTGTCCTTTGATTCGGTGTGTCTGAGTCCAAGGGTTCCGATGTAAGCGTTTTGCTTCTCGGACCCGTGCTGAGGCTGCATCCGAAAGCGCCTCAAGAGGCGACGATTGTGGGTGCCTGGGCGGAAGCTTAAACACGCAGGCCTGGCACAGGCACCAGGAAACTCTAAGATATGCAAGAGGGTTAGTTATCACTTGCATCACGCTGTAGTTGTATATGATACAGTCCGATGCAGCATATACACAGCACAGCACATATATATATATATATATATACACTATAGTGCCCTTTGTGGAGAGGGATTGTGTATCCTTACAGATACATACGCGACCAGCCGACATTTTGTCTTCAGGTTAGCTGACTTGGACAATACGAAAAGGGGGGTCGAACAAACCAAACTGCCAGCGATTTTGATACGAAATCTAGGGAGCCACCCAACCCGACCAATCGTTTGCAAGCAAGACTGTGAATGGCAGGGAAAACTGAGTGATAGAACAGCACGGCGAGCTATTAAAACTGTTTTGGGCACCAACAAAAAGCAGGAATACGTTGTGAGCACAAACCACACACACACACTCAGAGGGTCTTGGACTTGGCTAAATGCTTAATTAACCTGCTTATAGGGAACTTGCAACCATGCTAGGTGGGCTACAACCAGGGTTACTCACCGCTTGGCTATCTCCCAGACCTAAGCACACGAAGGTTGTCCAACGTAGGCTTTTGGCTCCTCTGGATCTCATGACGTGCCAATACGCAGCGCCCAAAACCCTTGTCAGATGAGCAAGGTCTTACTTGTGTCAGGTACCCCTTAGCTGGTGGCTTGGATTGGTGGTTTGGGCATTTGAACCTTTGCTTCTTCAGGGAAAACGGGAAACCAGCCCATAACCACCAAAAATACCGATCCAAGCCACCAATTAGGGGACGCTGAATGTGGATTGATGGGCCTGCAAAATAATTGGCACCCCCGTCTTGGAAGGACCAGCTAACTTGTTTCGATCAGCGCTGACACAGGTCGCAGGATGTGGGCATGTCTTCTTCAACAGGCGTTTCCCTCCGCTAGGTCTCAATGAACATGGCCATGGTACTTTCCCGTGTAGTGCGCTTCCCCCTTTGCACAACTATAGCCACTATCATAGCCACTGGCCATTATTATAGCCACTACATAAAGGGTAGTTGTAGCAGATATTATCTTGGAGCTTTTACTAAGGGTACACATGCTGCCGTTGACAGATATGAGTCACGCCAGTTGTTTCGAGGAGTCCTGGCAACGTTCACCTGGGGGATGTGTCAAGCCTTTTCTGAGCAGTTGCAGAGAAAGGCAACTTTCTCCCGGTGGGATGCCTGATTTCGTCATTTTCCTTGAAATCAGCCTGTTAACGGTAACTTTGGAGGACTCTACTAATCAGACGAAGCCCAGAAAGTAGACAATGTCCTCGCCGCGTCTGGCCTGATTGGCACGGTCCTCCGCAGTAATCCGAAAGTACCAGAAATCCTGTCAATTCAACGGAATGTTACCAGATCTTATTTGCCACGTTGAGCAAACAGAGTATACCGCCCTGGAGCAAGCAAGAAGCGGTTGATGTAAGTTGACGTCAGGCAAGTGTGAAACCGTTTCGCTCGGTTTGTCCATTTACCGTTGAAGTCTGAGACACATTGAGACGTTTCCTGCTTGCTGGGGCACTGTGGGACCATTGCCAATCAGCTACACCAAGGCTCATTAGATGTTTCTTTCGGGTTCAGCCCTGAAGTTTCTGTGGGTATGTCAATTCGCAGGTTCCATCATGTTGATATGGTGTGGCAAAATAGGGGTGCCTGCAAGCAGGGTCGGGTTTTCCCTTTGGTTTTCCTTTACACCAACCTTGCGAGGGTAGCTTTCGCCGAATCACAATTGAAGCCCGTGGGGCTTGGGATACAGCCAGCCCAGGCAACCTCGATCGACCTCAATGAGTATGCCGAGTCCAACGACATTGTTGTGGTCTACCCGCAGGCGAGAAACCCCCCTAACCCCCTGTGAACATCCCAATCCAGCCACTAAAATAGGTTCTAAAATGGGTGGTGCACCTACCCCAAAATGGGATCCCATTGATTTTGACAACCACAGCCTCATTGCTTTGGGCTTAGCAACTCAGCCCATGGCACGGAGTCCCGGAACGACTCGTCATGTTGGGATCGTAGTGTTGAGGTTTGACACGCCTGAAGCATAGCAAAAGTGTTTTACTTTTGGCTGGGGGGCAGAGGCTGAAGCAGGCATGATGGTCATGTTATGTTGATTCCCACCGCAGCGTATGTGTATACAGAAGAAAGAAGCAATTATATACATATATATATATACACGTAATATATACATATGTATATATATATATATTATATATGTATACACATGTGCTCACCCCCCCCCCCTGCAGGGCCTACCTTTCCACTTTAAAATGCACAAAAACCTCTTATTTTAAAGACGGGTGTGTGCACATATATGTAAGAAGTGTGCTGTTGTTGCATATTTTTCTGTGGGTGACAAGTCATGTTGAGTAACAACAGGGAAGAGTTTTTCTAAGGTTTGACGGCTTCCCTGCAGCAAGGCAACACCTGGGCACTGAGGTTGGGAGGTTGAGAAGTCGACGGGGGAGGGAGGGGGGATGGGGCGGGGGGTGAGAAGTCTTTACAATCTTGACAAAGTTGGTTGAGTCGTCACATCTCACTGCTGAGACTTCGCGTTTTTTTTCAGCATTTTGTTGGACCTCTAATCCCTTGAATGTCCATTTTGAAACACCTGAAACCTAGAATCTGGAGATCAGAATCTTCGAAATGTCTAATGTTGGATTCTCCAAGCCGCATATTTTGGAGCCTGGAGTCCTCCAACATGTCCACCTATACATGTACTCCGAATTGAATTTGAAAGCTGAATAGAATTTAGTAAGGACATAATGTTCACCACAACTCATAACTCACCACACTTTCTATATTTAACCAGAATTTGAGTAGGAATGCCATAAGGAAAATTGACGTTTCAGCAGAGTTGAAATATGCTTTATTGCAGACAGAAGTCAATTGGCCTTTGAAGATACGAAATTAATTGGGAATCCCTTCCCACACATGACTTAAATTGGAATAGAGTTTAACTGGAAAGAAATCACTTGGCCTTTGCACGCAAATTTAAATAGGAACTCTGATTTAGATAAAATGTCGCTAAACAAGTAATGGGCACTTATCCCCAGACTCCCAAAATTCGTCTGGGGATTTGCTTGGCATGTGCAGGTCTCAGAGCTTTCATTTTCAGGATATTTGTGCTTTGGGTCTGTGTAGGTTGCAGAGCTCAAAATTGCCAATCAAAAACATCATTGTCAACGTTTGTTCCTGTTAAAGATGGCGCATAGATGGCAACATAGAGCATGTGGGGGTTGATCAAATGGTCATTTACATGGGGTGACATTGGTTGGAAAACCAGTAAAACACACATATGTCCCCACATACGTTGCACATGGTCATGTACTGATCAACCCCCATGTCGCAAGCTGACATGTGTGTTTCAATCTGACATCCCACTTTCGCACATTTTGGCTTCAGGCTGCTGGCAGCCCCCGGGTGGGCAACGGCTGCTGGAATTGGGGTGACTCCAAGGATGATCAATACTTCGACACCCGGAGGATTCTCGGCAGGGTTTTGTGGTGGAACATTGACGGGCATACTTTGATTGGGCATCACAGCTAAAGGGATGGCAATCACCTGGTTCTGTAGGGATTCCCCGGGTTCTGTTTGCGACGCAGAGCATGTCTCTTTTCGGGCAAGCTCGATTGGTCGCTGGCAGAGGAAGCTCGGAATCCCCCGGTTTGGACAAGCCCGTTCCCGAAGGCTCCAAGTACCCCAGGATGTGTTCGGTTGGGTCGAAGTACTTCCAATTTGTGAAGCTCATTTCTGGAACCCGGAGTTTGGCAAGTCGGCACTTTTGTTGGCCGAGATCCATGCAGATCGGCACGGTGATGAACCTTTTGAAGAACCTGCCAGACGCTTTGCAAGATGCGGAGCTGGTGGATCTTAGCAAGGCCGGGAGAGGTGTGCTATAGCTCTCTGAGAATAGACGTGGGTCTATATAGTGTTTTTGTTTGCCCTCGGACGTGTTTCTTCGGCGGGTTTCTGAGGACTTTAGAACTTTGGGGGGCGTCAAAATTCATCGCCGGAGGGCACGGGCACGGGTCTATCGGTTTGGTTCCAAAGAAGCGGTGCCATGGATTTCTCCAAACTCAAGGGTCAAAGGACTCCCGAGCAAGGGTTTCCTGAGTCTTCCAGGATCTCTGAGGGTTAGAGTCCATGTGCCTGGACAAAATTTGAGCCAGAGAGCTGTTTGGACTCCATTTTGGAGCTTAGGAGTTTTCAGCGCAAAGGCGTCCTTTTGATCGGCGGGTTTGGGTTCCAGTGGCTTAGATTTGGTTGTTACACGCCAGTGACCAGGAAAACACACTTGTTTTTCCAAAAGGAGCTCTATGGTTAAGCCGGAGGTTCATCCATGTGGTTACCGAGCTCGTCGAACAGCCTCTGTTCCCGAACCGGAAACCAAAGGTGGATTAAGTGGTTTTCCTCTTGGTTTCTCAGCCAACCGATCAAAGCCCAAAACTCAGGTAAAAGGTTGGCAGTCTCCTGGCCAATGGGTGCTTCTTCTTTTTCCGGCCTCTTCTTCTTTACCATGGATTTGGGTGGACCATTTCAGGCCTTGGTTGTGGCGCTTTTGTTTTAGTTAAGCATGTCGTTTGTGGGGCGCTCAGCCCGCGCTTGGTGGTTTGAAACATCACCGTTTGGGCCCGGTGTTTGGTGAATCCCCCTTGGTAGGGGCGATGTATTCGGATGCCGGAACCCTGGCACGTGTCCATTATATAAGCATAAATTCAAGCTGGATGTCTTGAAGGCGATTCCCATTTCTGATCAAGATGGCATCCGCTCACTCAGGTAGCGTAGGGTAGTTTGTAAGCCAGATGCCCTATTCTTCACATGAGAGAACATGATTGGCATGGGCAATGTCTTTGTTTGCTCCTTTTGCTTGAGACTCGAATCTCGTACAATGAGAATGACTTCTTTCGCATTGAGTAATAAAACCTGTGTATCACATTGGTTGTAGAAGTTATAGACTCAGTCGCCTCACCATAGTACCGCTCGTGTTTGATCACTTCCCAGCCTTCTTTTTGTACAGCAATCGCAGGTTGTTCCACCCCCAAACAGACGCATTCTCCTGAGGAACTGGGAGACTCTCAGGATGCACCTCTGGGGTGTCCGCCAAACAGAGAAGCTTTTTCGGCATTCCGCCAGGCGGATGGTGTTTCAGATGTCCCCGCATCCGGGTTTAGATCCATGTTCTCAGGCACTGGTGCCCTGCTTTCCCGAGCTGCCCTTCACGCAAGGGTTGATTTCATGTTGACCCCATACTAATCAAGCCCCAGTTTTTTTTAATAGGGGGGGGTGTTCCGCTAAAAAGTGATGAATCCCCACAAAAACCAGAGACCCCCCCCTATTCATAAACTGTGATTGAGTAGTTTGGGGTCGACATGATTCACTTTGCATCCACCGAAGGGATGACAGTTGAGTACTCCCATTGAAATTGCCGCTTGGAAATCAACGGTCTGCCTGCATAGTTGACTTATTGGCTACAGCTCCAGTTTGTCTTGAAGGCGTTTTTTTTGGCCGACCGGGATTCGCACCCCATGCCTTCGGTGGCGCCCTGTGGCAAATGTCCAGATCTTAATTTGTCTTGCTGGTGCGATAGGTAGGGAATGATTGTCCGGGTGTTGGGAATGAACCTAGGCATTTCCTTAAAGGAATCCATAGGGGATGGTGCATAGGCATAGGTGTCCTTTTTGGTAGTTTTGGTAGAAAAATAGGATGGCCCTGGTTTACCAAATCATCCACCAGGGCCATCTATTTCCCCTAAAAGGACGACTATGTGCATAGGGTCATTCCCTCATTCCCTGCCTATCGTACCAGCCAGTTTTTCCCTCGCCATTGGAGGTCCTGTTCATGGCTCCCTAGACCCGGGGTGTGGTGTTCAGCAGGACGAGCTGACCGAGGGGCTGAACTCCTCGATCCTGGTGTGATGGGCTGCCCTGCCAACGTCGGCATCTGAGCCACCATCACAACTCGGGTACGTGAAGGCTCGTTAAAAAATGCCAGCCATAAATTGCTGCGGATATCCGCCCAATGTTGATTCTTTACATGCTTGGTGTAGAGCCCTGTAGTACCACTTCCTGTCTGAGTTCCTGAACTTCAAGCTTTTTGGGAAGACCATTTTGGTGGTAAATATAGAGTTCAAACTTATTTTGGTCAGTCCACTCGATTGGAGTGAGACTAGGTGTTGATTGTGACTCATTTTTTCTCCCTGCGTCCTCCTTTGATAGGCCAGAAATCGGGGTTGAGAGCACCTGCTCTCTCTCTCAGATCTCAACTCTCAACCGGAGCTGGGCGAAACATGAGCGTGATTCGCTCAAGTCCCAAACCAGGGACGTGTTGCCTGGCACAGATGCTTGTAATCAGACCCTCCAACAGGCTTCAAATGATGAAACGGGTTCCGATCGCTGGCGCCAAGGATTTGTTTCATGCGTGTATGGAGAACGCATCGGAACCCTTGGGTCGGCCATCTATGCTTGGATTCCAGAGCTCGCGCAACGAGCTGTGCCACACAGATGATTGCTTGGTGACCTGGTGACCTGGTTTGATTCAAATGGGTAGCTCGTCTTATTTTGAGGGTGCCTCCTTTTGTGGCGGTTCAATGGGAAATTAGAAGGGAAGCCACCAGCTTTTGGGGGGTGCCGCTTTTTTGACACCGCCCTTTAAAGAGATGCCTTTGATCAATATATCCTCCCGATTCATCCAAGGCAAACTTGTTTTTCCTTCTTGTATGTTTCCCATCTTGTTTGTGGGTGGGTTCTCCACTTGTTAGGCCAGCATGGGTGCCCTGGGTGTCTTACTGTGAGTTGGGATCTCAGCTTTTCGCCCGAAGTCGAACTCTTTTCGATGGCGCTTGGGTGCTCCAAAGTCCGACCGAAGGCGTTCGGCGGGCCCACCGCCCATGTTTCGTCACAACTGGTTCGGTTCTACCAGGACCAGGGTATTGGTTTTAAGGAAGCTCCAGTCAGTGTTGCTTTGCAGATCGAGAATTGCTATGTTTTTGATCGTCCCCTGTCGGCATTGTATGGGAGCAGTGTGTGGCATTCATGCCCTCAACATTTGGTTTTGTCCAGGCCCTTGGAGAGTTGAGATGCGCGAAATAGGCCTTCCTGAGCATTTGTACCATGGCAAAATGACCTTTTTGCTTGCTGACGGTCGGGATCATCAAAGCCTGAGTAAGGATTGTAGCCAGTTGAAGGGTTCCTACTGGGACAAATTGACCGACTGATTCGGAGTTTTGACCATGGCACATTTAGGCAGAGGCAACACATCAGGCGCATAGAAGAGCTGCAGACTACCACGGAACTACATATCCGCCCCTTTTGGCATTTAGTTTTCTGCCGCTATTCGGAAAAAGAGCAACTACTGACATATTCATGTTGCAGGTTCTCGAATTATGAACCAAGTCTGTTTGACACTCCCATGTGGTTAGGAACATGGGGAACCCCCACAGCCTTGCATCCGGGCAAGCATCCGCAGTGTTTCCTCTTTCCCCGGGTTGCCTCATGCAACTCCAAGCGAGTCGCAGAAAGACGGGTATGGGTCAAGATTAAACCACCAGGCCGCGGGTTTTTTGATCCATGTTTCCATTTACATGGTGGTTGTTGGGAAACATTCTACATGTTTGCTTATTGTGGTTTAGTGGGAAATCCCCACTTACCTGCTAAAGTTTGAGTTTTTGCTCCCCAAACCCAAGGTCAACCAAGTTTACCTGGGTTCCATTTCGGGTACATGTCATTGACCCACTGACCCGTGGAGTCATAGAGTGGGCCCATGGAACACCCAGCGCGCGCTTTCCCCCGCCATTTTCCCTCGCCGGGCGGTGCCCGGCATGTCGAGCGAGGCAACCGTCCAGCTCTGAATTGAATTGGAATACTGCCATTTGCTTAAGAATGATTTTTGCCCTTGTTGGCGTTAAAGGGAATCTAGCACTACTGGAAATATGTGTTTCGAGTGGTCTTGAGAAAATTGAAGAATAGAACTCTTGTTGTCTTCTATGAATGAACAACTCGATCCTGCACGAGTTGAAATGCGGCAACTAAATTGCAACCGTTTGGTTTACCTTTGGTTCCTCTTACGCTGTCCAAAATTGAGGTTCGTTTCCGTCACGTTGCGGTCTATGCTCATTGAGTAGTTTTTTGGGCAAGGCACACGCACCATGTGTTGATTGGGCATTTACGCAACTTAAAGCATCAATCTGCAGTTTGGTGGTCTGAAACCCGGACACGTCAAAATGTCGTTGGCCTTATCTAGATTTTAGGCGGGCTCCTTGTGTAGTTCGATATAGGGTGTGTCTTCGGGTCCCCTACCGGCAAAAGGCACCCTCAAAACACCACAAAACACCCACCCACCTGGAGAAGAAAGAAACTGGGCAAGAAAAAAATAAATGAGTTGACATAAATAGCACCATAAATAGACATACTCCTTGGGCAAGAAACAGCCGAACCAAGTCTTTGCGGATTTTGCTGGTGTGATGCAGTCCAGCGCGACCGACGAAAGGAAGGTGAGCTTAGGGAAAGGACGGTTTCCGAGCTGCGAGCCTCCGCCGTCAGCAGACCGGAACACAAGCAACTTGATCTCAGTTTGCTGTGTGAGGCTCTGCGCCCGGTTTTTTCAGACAAGCTCAGTTGGTTTCTTCAAGATAGCATGTTCTTGAAAGGTGGTCAGGTTGCGCAGAAAGTTTGCAAAAGAAACACTTGACTTTTCCGAGAACCTGCACATACTCCCTTGCACTAGTTAGTTCTTTGCAGCAGCTGTGTTCCGCTTCGCTGTCAGCTGGCGCGAATCCAGGATGCGGGGTTGGCCAAAGAGGTCAACAAATGGGCATTTGCTGCGCAAAAGATGCGTGCGTCCTCCACTTTCCTTCATTTTCTGTAGATGCATGTGTTTCCAAGACAAGACACGGTGCGTGCCTGTCACCGTGGAACAGGACTCGTGCAGCTGCAAAACACATAATTCATTTGTTTGAGGGTGGGGCGAAACGAGCTGACCAATGGGACGGTCTTTGGCGTCACTTGCTGCGGCTTGGTGAATTCCATCATAGCTTGTTCAGACGTAGCAAACCGTACCTTGAGGCCATCTGGCTGAGCCACAGGTATACGTGCCGAGCAAAAGACGTGCTGAACATGCCGAGGGAGTCTCAAAATCACTGTTGGGTGTGGTTTTCCTGAGGCTAGTTTCGAGGATGTCACTTTAAAAGAGCCAGTTTCACCGTAACCAAGCTAGAGTGTGGAGAGGGCATTCGAATAGCCGGATCGAGGCTGACAAAGCCTTGGTTGTCAGACAATCCCCCTCTCTCTCATAGAACTTGCGCCTCCCACGTTAGTGCATATTTTGGCTTGACTAACTATGGCACAGGATCTGAATAAAAAGAACACCTGTACGTGCCCAGCTTCGGTCAAGGTGAATTTCATTTCACCCTGGCATTTGATGGCAGCCCTTAACATCCGGCACGTGGACATTCGACCTCTTTATCCTGTGTGAGTCCTTGGAGTAGATTCTCTGCTCTCAGTCATCTGCGAATCCACCGGATATGACCTTTTTGGGACCCATTTCGCCCCGAAGGGTGATCCTCTTTTTTACTGCGTCCCTGAGGGGCAAATGAGTCCTTGTTCAGGCACCCCAAAGTGCAGTGTTTTAGGCCCTTTGGCTGCAACATGAGCATACCTACGGAGGCGATCGGCTGAACGTGGGTGGTTGGTGACCCAGGTTGCAACCCTTTAACCATCCCCCCAAGAGAAGAAAGGAGAAGAAGGAGAAGAAGCTTTCCATGGGTTGGCCCTGTGAAGGCACCCAGTGGAGGTAACCAATGAGAGTGCCACCTGCTCTTAAGCAGAAAAGCACTAAGACTCATGGAACCTCTTGAGGGCACAAGATCCTCCAATGGGATCTGCATTGATTTGCTTCGGCTCCTCCTGTCACGGAAATTGGGGTATAACAAATATTCGAAAATGGAAAACACCGCCATGTGACGCGTATTGACCAGTTTTCCTTTGGGCGGTTTGCGCAAAGGCCCTTTTGGAATTCAGCCAGGACTTGCCAGCGATGGAAGGCCAAGTTCTGGAGTCCGTCGGGGGCCCAGGAAACCGAAAGCTCGTTGAGGTCCCAGTCGCTAGTTTGGCATGTGGCAAGATTGGGGCCCGAAATGGAACCCTATGGGAAAGTGGTTTTAAAAACCTGCGGCCCCCTGGCTCTGAAATTTGGAGCCACAGCCACATACCCAAGGATCAGGGTTTTAATGTTAAGCTTGCGTTTGAATCTATGAACAGAAGGATGAAGATAGCGGAAGGTACTGCTAGATACATTCTGCGCAATGTGTTTCTGCTATGCCATATGCGCCATTGTCAAACTCCCTGGGACGGTCACGAATCCCTCAACCTGAACCCTCAAAAAAACAAAGGATTGTTTGTGGCTGTGTTTTTGATTGGCCGTATTCAACATGTTTTCTTGAACGACAAGAACGCTTAGGATTTCATGGTTTGCCTGCAACGGGCCAAAGCCTTCTACGTGTTGGTGCTTTCAAGGCTTTTGCGAGGGGCCCGGTGCATGCGGCAGGTGTCCTCGCCCGCACAGCGTCAGCAAGAACTCGCAATCGCTCGTAAAAAAAAACGCAACTAATTGTGTGTTATGGGAATACGAGTATACTCAGTATACTCATCCAGGCGCATTGCATCATCAGTGACAACGTATTTCTACGAAACGCCTAAGAGACATGTTTTTGTCCATGTCATTTGAGGGTCAAGGAACATGGATTTTCGACAGTCATGGGGAGGATTCCAAGCGAGGGAACCCTGACCATGGACGCACATATTATTAGTTTTGGATGTGCCATTTCCTTTTGGTTTTGCGAATTAGCGCGTATTGATTTTGGGCAGGGGCTTAGTCATATTGTGAGTAGTGGTCCTGGCGTACATGATTGGTAGTCCACCGT